GTCCAGCACTGGACAGATTCCCTAGGACTACCAGCTCACAAAGTAGTCTACTGATGCATCTTGAGAGCTTTCCTTTCGCTTTTTTGACACCTAGCAGAGCATTAGTCTGACACAACAGATATTTAGAGATAGAATACTCACTTTTTTTGCTCCAGCCTACTGTGCCTTCTCTGCTTGCTTCACTACTGCCTGTTGGAGTTTTTTGCATTGTTTCACCTCAGCGATGGTGATCTTCTCCTGGGCAATCTGGGCTCTTTCGGCCTCATAGGCCTCCTTTCCACATTTCTTGGCTTCCACTAGAGATACCTTGTTGTTTGCTTTGTGAGTTGCCTCCTGTTGTTTCTCTGTCTCAGCCCTCTCAATCACAGTGATACAGTGCAAAGAAGCCTTGTATGAGGCATTGCTTGGCAAGAACATGCTCCATATCTGTGGTATCTAAGTCAAGGCAGGTAAGGTTAGTTGTGAGCACTGTGAGTCATCTGAACACATACAATGATGGGACCATAGACAGTTGTGAGAAGAAACCACTGGTCAGCTGTCAAAGACCCACCAGTGGGGGTCCCAATGTCCGTTGGCAGCTTTCCACACAACCCTGGGATGATAAACTACAATGTTTCAATTGTTTGGTATATGAAATGATGAGAGGGAGGGAAGAACATACATCTGCAAGCATGCTATGCAGCATGCCTAACTCATGATTTGGTCATAGTATCTTGCCTTGAACCCATATGTGGTAGAAGTGCATTTTCACAAGACCTGACATTAATGGAAGAGACATTTAGCATGGCAGGGAACAAGCATGATGGATGGACTCACCTAAGAACAAGTTGTGCATGGGATCTATGATGATTTGTTCAACCAAGTCAAAGTATGGGAGACAAGAGAGTTGTGAATAGTGTGTCATGAAATCTTTGATGAAAATCTTCTGTGCATTGGGAGATGGGAGATTGTGATATTCCTCGCCTAAATGGTGTTGCTCTATGTTTGTCCATGGGGGATGAGCTGGTGTTTGTATTAAGACAAAGTTTAACAGTCATCATGTAAAGACACACCTCCTCTCTGGAAAGCATTTGGATTTCCCTTGTCCATTGAACATATCCAGCAACATGTGCAGTAAAATTGTGTGAGTGCGACACAAAACTGCCTATCTTATGCACTGCAGGCTTATCACACATGACTGCAACCAATGCAACATGAACAAGACAACCTATTATGGTTGAGTAGATCTATGTACAAAAAGAGATAGTCTCACCTTCTGGCTGGGATTCTGTGGGTATCTTGATGTCATATTTCCAGAGCCGCAGTAAGTCTGAGATGATATGTTGAAGGAAACATTGTACTTGGTCTGGTGTTTGTTCTTTAGGGCCTGGCATGATGCTCATACACATCAGATTCATGGTCCAGTATCTGTACTCAGGAGGGAGGTTGCAAATCAAGAAGGAGGTAGGGCAGGATGAGTGAGATGGCATGATGTTACTCTGAATGTATAAAAACCTGTAGGGCCAGTGGGTCTTCAGCATCAATTAATTATGAGCCTATGAGATGAGTACATACCAGTCAACACCAAGGTTAACTCTGAGGTGTAGCTCATTATTGGGGCCATGTCATTCATTCTGGTTGTTTGAAAAAAATAACTTGCCATCAGGCCCTTTGAGCTTCATGCAGCAGATACTGCCACTGAAGATGTCCATATAGATGCCAGGCAAGCATGACTTGCCTTGCCATCCATCAAGCACATCCTCAATACCAGGAATCATAAGGATCTATGATATCTGCTCAGATAGCAGGAGGTAGGGGTACTTGATGATAGGTGTCTTCAAAGTGTGTGCATTACGCTGCAGGGTTTGCCCTGGAAGAAACAAATCAACATTACAGGAAGTGCATGTATTGTGACATAGTGGTGATGTGGCAGGCAGATATACATCATGACATGTTGGACAGACAGGTAGTGTGTGAACCAGTTTGTTGACACTGAGGATGCAATTGCCAGAATGGAGAGTTGTGAACAGAAGACTTGAGTTTGAGTTGAAGAACAAAAGAAGTAGTGAGAATATAGTGAGTAGTGCATTGCAAGTAACACACAGGAGATGAAATTGGAGGTGAAGCCATGATATGGTTGCATGAATGACTGCGACATGGTCTGGCAATTCTGCGAGGTCAGCCTTGTCTGCTTGCACCTCCTCATCAACAAAGAATGGGTCTGGATCGTCTTCGTCATGTGTGAGGTGGGGAAGAGCCTTGTCAGCTGGGTCAGTTTGATGAGACTCATTGTCTTCATCAGGATAGGACCAGGTGAAGCCAAGGTCATGGGGTGCTTCTAGCTGACCATCATTACATACTGAGTTTTGCTCATCAAGAACTCAATCTCTGATCTGTTGCAGCTGACATTTGAAAGCACATTGTTCTGGGTCAGATGGGAGATGATAAGCATTGAAAGACATTAGAGGTTGAGAAGTAGTAGATGTCTGCATGTTGTACTCCTGAAAATAGTCAACTGCCAAAAGGAGGGCCTCTGGACTGTGAAAATTAGGACCCAGGTTGGGTAGATCACTGCCAAATGTCAGAATATCAAGGTCCTCGCCAGTTAAAGTACTGTGGTCAAACATTTCCTGCTCAACAGGACTAGTCAAGGAACATGGGGGGTCAGAGAAAACACTGTTAGCACAAAGAAGTGGAGGGGGGGAGCATATAGGGTGCAGAAACATTCATGAGACAGACCCATGGTCTTTATAGGTTGAAGGAACAACATGGAGGCCTGCCACATGCAGATGGGTCTTCAATGCCTCAGTAGCTTTACAGAGATCAGCATTTTCATGGGCAAAGGCAACATGGGCAGGGACTAGAGCCCCATGGCATCCTTTGGACTTGCAATGGCACTGCCAGAACCCCATCAAGGTGATAGCTTGATCAATGTGGGTGATGTACCATAGTGGGTGCAGGTGTGGGTGTGGGTGTGGGTGTGGGTGCAGGTGTGGATGGGTGGGAATAGGATCTCATGTGGACAAAAAAAAAGATCACATGCATGCTGGTTATACAACTTGCGAAGGCAAATTTCTACATACAAAGATGAAGGTACTACTTGCAAGAGCATTTGGTGGGGGGGGTGCTAGTATCAGAAAAGATTGGCTTGTAATGTTCCTGCCTGGATATGAGGTTCTCCCTTATCTGAGCCCACCTGTCCTAGGTAAGGTAATAACATGAGTACATAACAATGCAAAATGAAAAAAAAGAAAACATACACAGAGGAACTGTGTGCTGATGCTACCAATATCCTCAGATTCAGCAAAGCTATCAGGTGTGAAGCTATGCTTGAGGGGACAGTGAGGACCATGAGCAGATACAGCAGAGACAGGCAATTCTGAAGTGACTTTCTAAAAGATGACATCAGTAAAGCAAGGAATGGTCCATTAGAACTTACCTCAAGGAGCCTAGGGGTCCCTTCCTGACTTTCAGGCTCATTTTCACTGTTATCAATGACAGGGGCATGAGGTGTGAGGGGCTTGGCACTCATTGACTTGATATGGTTGTCACTGGGAGAAGCATTGCCTGCAACATCAAAGAGGGCAGAGATTGGAGCTGCAGGTAATGTCCTGGCAGGGCCCTATGCAATGCATTAGCAAGAAAATTAAACATGTAGTAACTCACCATGGTGGCAGATTGGTTGGCATCTGCAGGCTCAATTTTGACCTTGCCAGTGATAATGTTCATACTCTCATTAATATTGATGACATGTTTTTGATCACTAATGATGTGAGAGGAGTTGATGATGAACAGATCTTCTGGTAACATAGTAGTCAATGAAAATTCTATGGTCTGGAACATGAGGTGAGTGAACACAATCCTAGAACATGGAGGCAAATGACATACTACAGGACCTTGAAACTTTGGCTCAAAAGATACCATGATGTTCTGGATGCTGGGTGGAACCTGAAGCCTAATAACATGGGGCTGATTTTGGATGGTGGTTGATTTGGATATCACATCAATGAGCTCAATTTCATTGGCCTGTGAAGTAGAAACTGTCTTGTTAGCATTGATATTGACCTTGACTGAATGAATAAGTATGCCAGATGGATTAGTACAGGCAGATGGACATACAAAATGCTTGCTCATGGTGAACATGGAGACCAAGGGAAAAAATTGCAAAGTCCATCTGTCTTTCTGAGGGTTGGAAAGGTAGCAAGGGCCACTTTTCAGATAGCAATATCATTGGACTATGGCCAATGGAGTCAAGCATAGTTGGGGTTGGAAAATGCATCATGCAAGAGGTCAGGTTATTGGTGTATTGTCTATATTCGGATCTCACCTGCATGGGATTATTTGGACATGTTACTCAGAAATCGTCTAGTCGGATTTTGCTCAGACTAATGGTTATATCTTACAAAAAAAATCTAAGGTCGGATTATCTACGTTTAAAGAATCTGATTATCCCCCCCGCTAAAATTTCATTTCCGCAGTGAATGTAGTAGACAAGTGACAACGATGGGTTTATGCCTATTACGCGTCTCCTCCGTCAACTCACCAAGATGTCTTCTTCTCCAAAGTGTCCGATCAGTATCATCGATATATGTATGCCGCATCATTTGATTATTGGGCCTGCATGCCATCGTTCCCACACGAAAGGTACTTCACAGGAATATTGGGTTACGGACTCGGAGTAGTCGGTTCATCTAGCACGAGGTCGTCTTCTTTTACGTAGATTTAGTGCGGCCCTGCAGCCGCTATTCTATCAGAAGCGATTCCTGGTCGAGGTCACTGCAATAATACCGGTCAAACGAATAACGCCGTCCCATTGCATGATGTACGGTAAATAAAGCCCCCCCACCGTCGGGGTAAGTACTCCTGCGACGATGCTACGCCCCCTCGCTCTTTCCCTTGCCAGCACGGCACTTTTGGTGTCAGCGTCACGGCCGGCTCAAGTCGTTCGCGACATCGCCTTCTCCAAGAACGTCTCTCACTGTCCAGGTAAGTATAATTGCGTTCGTGGACCATGGCGGTATATGCTGCTCATCGTCGACTCCACAGGCTATACCCTCACCTCTCTTGCCGAACTCCAACACGGTCTCTCTGCACAGTTACAGCTTGCAGGCCCAGCATGCAATGCATTCGGGTCGGACATCGCCAATCTCACGCTCGAGGTAACATACCAATCCCAATCTACGTACGTTCGCCGTTCCGTCTTTCCATCGGTAGTTCTTAGCCTATCCCAACCACACAGCATCCGTGTTGCAATATTCGACACCGCCGAAGACCAGTTCAGAATCCCTACTTCAATTATTCCGCCTCCTCCCCTTCCAACGAAGTCCCTCATCAATGATTCTGATCTTGTATTCAACTACGACCCTTCTCCCTTCGCGTTCTGGATTACCCGCCGCTCGGACCCCGATGCGATGCCCATCTTCGACACTCGTATCTCATCGCTACCGACCACTCCTATTCCTCCATTCAATGCTTCCGATCCGAGCACTGCATTCGATGGGTTCCCGCTCGTGTTCGAAGACCAGTATCTCCAGGTAGGCTCTTCCCCAAGCTGATCGTCTGCTGTCACCCTCGCCAATGCCCAAAACCACTCGCCTCCATTATGTTTAGATTACATCGGCCCTTCCTCTCGGCACCAACATCTATGGCTTAGGTGAAGTCATTGCAAGCAGTGGTTTTCGTCGTGATATCGGTACGGGGGGTGGTTCGGGCACGATTCAGACTCATTGGAATCGTGATGCTGCCGATCCTATTGATGAGAACATGTATGTATGCTGTAGCACGACCGTCTGACTGAAGCATATACGCCCCTCAACAGCTACGGTTCTCATCCCATTTATCTGGAACATCGGTACAACGAGACCACTGGCAAAGCCACTGCGTCCGGTGCCCTTCTCCTCAGGTGTGCCCCCTTCTTCGCAGCCCCAGTCCTAGTCTCATGCTTGCTCTCCACGCAGTGCTTCGGGTTCTGACATCCTGCTGCAAACACCTCCCAGTTCCCCAGTAGTCCCTGATCCAATACCGCATGCTTGGTGGAACCTTCGACTTCTACTTCTTCAGCGGTCCAAGCGATGTAGGATGTCATCGCACAGTACGGAGCTGTAAGCGGTTATCCGTTCATGCCTCCAGCTTGGGGCTTTGGATTCCATTTGTGTCGATGGGGATATCATGATGTCAATGACGACATTGCGAATGTGGAAGCAATGCGTGAGGCAGGCATTCCTCTTGAAGGTATTTGGTTCTTTCTACTTTGTCTTCGTGCTGTTAATGCCTTCTTCGACGCGTGTCCCTACTCAAACTCGTGCATTCATCTTTGTACTTCATGGAACTCGACGGTCGTAGTCCAATGGAATGACATCGACCTTTACCACGCCTTTCGGGACTTTACAACTGACCCTGTCAGTTTTCCAACAGACGAGGTCAGGTCATTCATTGAGAATCTGGTGAGTGCATCGTTATTGGTTATTGTCGTGGGCACGTTGCTGTTTCCCTGCTGTAGATGTAATTTCATTTTGTACTATATCACTTGGTGATGCTTACTGTTCGAGAAAACACATACTGACATCCCCATACAGACAACGAACCACCAGCATTGTATGTGCACTCTTCCTCTTCTACTTGTCGATGCTTTGGCTTTGGGCGTATGGCTGGCGAGTGTGTGCAAGTAGTTGACGTCGCGCGTAGATATTCCGATCGTAGATGCAGGTATCGCTCTGACGGTGAATGATACGGACGTGGTACGTGCCTGCACCTCCTCACCCCTCTTTCGAGTTCTTCCCTTCCCCTCTACTCATCGAACTCATCCATCTCATTCTTTTTTTATATTTGTAGTACGACCCATTCACGAGAGGTTCGGAAATGTACGTACCCTCTCGCCTTGTCTTCTTCGGAAGGGTGAAATGAGCTTGAATTCTAGGAATGTGTTCATGAAGAATCCAGATGGATCTCTGTATATTGGACAGGTGTGGCCTGGGTACACCGTACGTTTCTTCATCCCATTTGTTATTTTCCGTTCACTTATCCGCCTCCTCTCACCCCTTCCCGACGATGTTCACGGCAACAGGCGTTCCCGGACTGGTTCTCGGACAACGCAGTGGAGTGGTGGACAGAAGCGTTGATGAACTGGAGCACGAATGGGGGTGTTGAATTTAGTGGAATATGGCTCGACATGAACGAAGTAAGCTCGTTTTGTGGATATTCGTGGTATGTTTTCTTTCGCCTGAAGGTTGAGGCTGTTAACTAAAACGAGTGAACTGATTAAATATGCGAGTGCAGTGGTACGGGTGCGAACTTTTCAGCACTTGCTCCGTTGAGTGTCGTCAATATCACGGTGGTTGGGTATCCCGAGTGGTATGTGTCTACCCTTCGAATCCGAATCCAGGTCTAAGTGATGGGTTAATGCGATGGCGAATTTGAAATACATAGTTATAACGAGACAGTTTCGGGCCCCAGCGGGAATATGACCGTTAATGGGACGCCAACATATTCGTGTTCAGACATGAGTGGGAGTAGGGCGAGCGTGGTGGTGAGGACTAATACTAGGACAGTGACGAGTGCGCGAAGGAGCGTTGGCACTGGTATCGGTGCCGGTGGGGAAACAGGTATCAATGTGACTTATCCGCCCTACGCGATACACAACAGTCAGTTCCTACACTTGCACTATACCTTCCTCGTTCTAAGACACCCCTCTTTTTGTTGTACACAGGTTTCGGGGCTCTTTCGGTAAACACCGTTGCCACGAATGCAACGCACGCAGGTGGTTATCTCGAACTGGATGTGCACAACCTCTTTGGAACGATGGAAGCTCACGCGACGTACTTGGCGTTGCAGAAGGTCAGGCCTGGAAAGAGACCTTTTGTCATCGGAAGGTCGACGTTTGTAAGTCAAGGAAGGTGGGCAGGGCATTGGGTGAGTTTATCTTGTTTCTTCTTTCGTTTTCGTTCTACTCGCGGTGTGGGGAAGTCTCGTGTATTGGTGATGCGAATTAGGGATGACTGGTGGCTGACACGACCGTGATACACAGCTCGGTGATAACTATAGCAAGTGGGAGTATATGTACTTGAATATCCAGGGTGTACTCCAGTTCCAAATATACCAAATCCCTATGGTGGGTGCTGATACGTGTGGATTTAGTATGTATCCCTCCCGCCCCGTCCCTCATGCGAGACTGACAAATCCCTGTGATGGGACAGATGGGAACACAGACGAAGAGCTATGTAATCGATGGATGCAAGCTTTCCTGCCTTCATGCCGTTTTATAGGAATCATAATATGTATGCAGCATTGCCTCAGGAGCCATATCGGTGGGATAGTGTTGCAGATGCGTCAAAGATAGCTATACGGGCACGATACTCGTTACTGCCCTATTGGGTGCGTAATCTCACTGTCGTCGCCCAACCGTGAATTGATGGCAATCTTTCTATGTATTGTTCCGTAACCCTTTTCATACAATTCAACAGTACACCCTTTTTGCGAACGCATCTACGGCTGGTTTACCGCCAATCCGAGCTTTATTCTATGAGTTCCCAGATGAACCCGAACTTTTCACCTGTTGATCGGCAGTGGCTCGTTGGGAAGGATATCCTCGTGACCCCTGTTCTCGAGCCCGGGCAGACGACTGTCCAAGGTGTGTCAGCATTTCGCGGTTGTGTCAGCACGGAATGTGACGCTCGTGCGCGATTGGTCGCGTAGGTATATTACCTGGTCGTGGAGACTGTCATATGGCGAGACTGGTGGACGCATGTACCCGTTTCGGTTTCGCCAACCAACACATCAAATCAATCAGCGACGGTAACTCTCCAAGCTCCCATCAGCCATATCAATGTCCACATCCGCGGAGGATCTATTTTGCTCTTGTACGATCAACCGGGGTATACGATCTACGAAACGATGAATGGACCGTATGCATTACTTCGTGTCGCTTGATGGAGATGGACAAGCTTGGGGTGATGCGTTCGTGGATGCGGGAGATGGAGAATTTGACGCCATGGGTGGCACTGGCAACAGTTCAAACAGCACCCTGGCAAGGAGATTGACCTTTGAAGCGTGCGGGGGCTCACTGAGGGTCAAAACACAATGGGGGGCATATAATATCGAACAGAAGGTGGAGACGATCACCATCCTCGGAGTTGGGAATGAACCGGACAGCGTAGTTGTGCAGGGAGAGGTAGTGAATGGGTGGGTGTACTAATGGGGGGATTGGAGAGCTGGTTGTGGCAGGTGCAGAGGTGAATTTAAATGGGGATGTTGAGGTGTCGTGGACTGTATTAGGGACAGGGTACTTTAATATTGTAGCACGCCTATATCCCGGGCATGCCAACTAGCACTGGAATGCTGGCAACCCATCATTGCGCGCGATGCTCGAGGTTTGTTGGTAGAGGAGACTTGTATACACACGAGAACTGATATAGGAGAGTGCACCTCAACCACTTCGATCCCAGATGCGCCAGAATGTCATAGGCAGAGAGAACTGACCACAACACCCTTTTAACGTCAGGTGTCACCTTCGATAGGAGACGAACATAGCTAGTTCCATCACACAACATCACACGTTTCATACTCCACGCCCCGCGCGACTGTTCTTATGCACATCCAAAGCTCAGATGGACAACCCCTCTATCATGCGCTGTAGTGTCCCGTTCTTATAGGCCTCTTGAAGATCGTCGTTTCCGCCGACTGTGATGTCCGTCTGTGTGGGTCGTCGGCGTCGTATCAACGTAGAGGTCAGTGTAGAAGTAAGCATCGTCATCGACATGAAACGTAAAGGTGGGAAGAGAACCGGTATTAGTATCATGTCAGCATGGAAGACGACGAGTGAGTGATCACAACACACTGATGAACGTCTGTGGGACAGTCTTCTTGCCCGTTTTAACGGCAAGGTAGTCCTGAATGGCTTGTCCTTCCATAAGATCTAGACTAGTTTCCTCTTCGTTTTAGAAGGCTGTTTATACCATCCAGTCAAAATTGACAACACGATACGCACTCGAATATGAGGACGTCGTCAGGAGGGAACAGCTCTTTCAGGAGTTGTTTGGACGCGCGGCAATGTGGGCAGTAACTCTTGGCAAAGATGACAACCCGACGGTTGGAAATGGCATTCTTGTTTGTGTTAGGAGTTGGTGTTGGGACATAAACAGGGGAGCAAAGTTTTTATGAACAAAGAGGGATACGCACCTCGACAATGTCTTTAGCGGAACTCATTCTTCATTAGATGTTGGGTGGTGTAACGAAGGTGTTCAGTATTGGTGAGCTATAAAAATAGCTCCTGTGGATGTCGATCGAGATGATGTCATGGTCGGGTTGAGGGATGAACATAAATGATGTCAGTGTTAATCTCAGTACGGTAGATCACGCCATCGCCATCGACGACCCCGTGTTACACGCCAGCGCAAGCCGCCATGCTATTCAAATTGAGGGGGCTTCATCCCCTTTCCAAAACAGTGAGTGACATGGTTCGCCACAGCAGTCAAGGTGGGAATAATAGAGATCTGGAGGAGACCGAGAGAGAAGACGATTGTATACCGAACCCTGAGCACGTATCTTTCGAATTGAAAGTAGGTCACCTTGCATCCGGGGCAAAACCGACCGAGCGTAACATATTTGCGGGACGGTTGTGTCGAGAAAGGGCGAGTAGTATTCGCAACAGTGAAGACGATTTTGGATGCGCGAGTGGCCCGGAGCGCCGAGGTTACGAGACCACTGAGCGTTGGTCTTGCCAGGTACATAGGCTTGTGGGTATGATATGCGGCCCGGGTAGACCAGAACAGCTCCAGATGAAGAAAGTATAGTAGGCGAGGAAGGAGCGGTTGTCGTTGGGGATCCCTGCCCCGCCAGAGACAGCCGCATCATGGCAACAGCGGCCGCAGGCGGTGAAAGGCGGTGAAAAGAATGGTTAACCGCGCGGACGATATCAGCGTGTTAGACATGTCTAGGGCAGGATTAAGACCGGTGGGCGCGTAGAGGGATAGCTAAGCCACCGATCAGTCGGTTGTCATCAGTATACAAACCAACGGACTTACGCACACGTTGACCACGAGAAGAGTCCACCTGAATTTGTCCCAGAGCATTCACCTTCTTTCCCACCGAACCAGTCACCCGTGACGCTATCGCACTCCTCTTCTCCTCCCTCTGGCATACACGGTTCATTGCTCTTGAATGCCAGTAGTGAGGGAGAGCCTTCGAGCAATGAATTGAGCTTGGGGGAAGCTATAGGCTAATCTTTGTAACCAGTACATGTGCATGTCCGAAGTCTTCGTCTGTGACGAAAGCGAATTCGTTTCAGCCACACGCGATTAGTCCGGTCTCGGAGGTTTTCTCAAAGAACTGGCCGAAGGGTTCTGTGTTCGAGGTAGACTGGGGTGAATTCTACCTGCCACGCGCCGTGGAAGGGCGGGAACAGGAGACTTGCCTGACATGCTCGTGCCCTAATGCAATGGCAGACTAAAGTTATAACACCGAGGGAAGTAAACGCACTGAAAACAAGTGCCGCATGTACTGTATAATAGTCCCAAAAGCACCGCATATCAGTTCCATGCGATGAAAATCAGTGCCAAATTGTGGCACTGATATTTCATTTTTGCTACTAATAACCAGTGCCATGCATCAGTGTCATTGATGTGTTTTTCCAGTGTCAAAATGGTACTGATTTCCAGTCATGTTAGGCACTTCTATTTCTGGAAATTTCATTGAAGAAGGCACTGATTTTCAGTCAAGAGTGCACTTATCATCAGTCACAAAAGTACTGTTTCACTTGCAAAAATTAACATTGATTAGACAGCACATTCGACATTAAGTTAGCTAAAAGGAAATGAGAGTGGATTGACAAGGCACAGCCTAGTTATGAATGTTCTGTCATGGTTGGCCTTTCCAAGTCTTTGATCGAGTAGTGTGATTTGCCTTAGCATGTTCCTGTACATTCGACCACACATGAGTCATGAGTGCAGAAAGGACGGTGATGGGGTATGACAACTGAATTGCCTTATACTCACTGATGTGACAAGTCTGGCAGTTTGACCTATGCTTGCATTTGGGGCATGCTGCTGGACCTGTGTAAGTGGTGATATCTATATCAGTATAACACATTGGAAGCATCGAAGGTAGTACACATGCAGTGGCCACTGGCAGCACTGTTGATTGGGACTTGCTGCTCGGCATGACCGTTGTGGTCTGTAAGGTTAGTAGTGTCAGTAAGGCACAATGTTAGTGGGATAAAGTGTGTAGTGAACGTTAACCTTCGCCTGCTCTGAATGTAACTTGTTGGCAGCTTGATTGGAATCATCAGTCTGTCACAAGTAATTTAACTCTGAGGCAAGGTCAGTGGCTAAGGTGAATGGTGTCAGTCAAGGCACAGCCTACACAGGATGACAGAGTAGGAGATGCCTTCTGTGTTTGCTCTTGGAGTTCCAGCAGAGCCTGAGCAGCATCCTGGGTATCACTTGTTGCTTCATGTGTCAGGAGCTCCAGTTGCTTTAGTCAAAAGGCGAACAATGTTTCTATGAAATATCTCCTCCAACTCTGTATCATCATCATTTGTGGGGTGGATGAGGGAACCTGCATCGCTACTTGCAACCATGATCTTGTGTGCCTTGACAACTGTTGTGGGACTGTAATCATCTGTGATCAGCAAGGTCGCTATGTAGGGGCACCATAAAGTATGTTGTGAACTGTGCAAGCAGTAGAGGCCATATTGCTGCAGTCAACTCTGCTGATGCCAGGAACAGGGCAATGAGGGTGTGCTCGATGATTGCAGCTCCCTTGTTGCCATAACTGCTCAGTGTTTACATCAGTTTCCCACACAGTTGAAGAAGTGAGTTGCATGTAAGGATGTACTATCCAGCACTGTGAGTGGTCCAGAATCGCCGATCTGGAACACAGTGCTGAGTTCTGCATGCAAGCTAGCTTTTCCAATGTCCACCCATCTTCAACCAAGTCAGCCTCGAAACACTTTCAGACATGCTGCTGCTCGTGGAGGCTCCTGTTACAAAGGATTGGATCTAGCTGGTCTCACCACTTGACGATATGCCCTGGAATCTGCTTGAAGTCAATCATGCTAATGGGCCAACCTTTTTTTGCTGCAATCTTGAGTTGTTCGTATTTCCTATGCTCCCTTTTGATCATGGTGCAGATCTGAGCTCCTAACTGGACTGTCTCGAAGTTACGCCCATGCTGTTTTTCGGGTCATGGAAATGTATCTTTGTAATGCTGCAAAAAGATCTTGAGACATTCTGGATGGGACCTTGTCCTTGCAATATATGCCCAGGACATCATGGTGGGAAGTCGTCTTGTGTGATCACAGATGACTGTGTTTCTGCATTGTCCTCCTCGTCAGTCAAGTCCTGCATGAACTACATGAGAACACTGGCTGGCATACACTAATAAGTACATCTACAACTCACTTGTAGTCCAAGGGACACATGTCATTCCTTTTCTTCTTCTGTGACCCATCCTGTGTGAGTATGAGGGCACAAAAATGGAATGCAAAGTTTTGAAGGCACACATACATGACATTCAGAGGCTGCTGGCACCTCTGCTTCATCAGCTTGCTCCCATACTGATGTGAGTGGTCTTGGAGGTGCATGACCCATTGCTGATAGATTCCTGAAAGAGTTTGAATGCACAGAGTGAATGACTTTCCAGACCATACCTGTCATTCCATTCCCAGCATGCCATTTGCTGCTTGTAGTATGCATGATTGCTGGTCATCAATTGATTCATCCACCAGCTCATTTCTCTTTCTCTAAACTGTGCAGCACATTGTGAACATCAGCTCGTGACTACAGCTCAATATACTCGCTCACATGCTTCTGAGTACCACCCAGGCATTGGTGACCCTTATCACCCTTGGCGTGCATGTTGGGCTGGATGTCATCATTGCACTAACAATCAACTTTCTCTTGAAAAATGTTCAGGCAGCAGTTACAATCACATACAGCTTACTTCCTCACCATTTTCTGTCTGGCTTCTGTGCATTTTGGGTAGACACTCCTCTCATCTTCATCTTCATTGTTGTCATCTTCATCATCATCATCATCATCATCTTTGTCCCTCTCCATCTAAATGACACAGAGTGAGCTTGAGATAGTAGATGTTTGTTCACCTACCTTTCTCTGTGTACCTGGAGTGTGTTTGCTGTGCCTGTTACTGGCACCAGCATCATCTGCATACATTTCCTTCGGACTTGGACTGGGAGTTGTCTCTCTTTCTCTAAGCGACATGTAGTTAGTTCATGATAGTAGAATGCACATTTGCCTACCTTTTTCTGTGTATCTGAAGTACATTTGATGTGCCTGTTATCACCAGCATTGCCTGTGTCCATTTCCTCAGACTCAGACTCGGAATCAGACTTGGACTTGGACTTGAACCTCTTTCTCTAAGTGACATGAAGTGAGTTCATGATAGTAGAACATGCATACCTACCTTTTTATGTGTACCCGAAGTACATTTGATGTGCCTGTTATCGCTGGCATCGTCTGTGTCCACTTCCTTGGACTCAGACTCAGACTTGTCCCTCTTTCTCTGAATGACACGGAGTGAGTTCATGATAGTAGAACACACATGCCTACCTTTTTCTGTGTACCTGAAGTATGTTTAATGCACCTGTTAGCACCAGCATCATCTGTGCCCACTTCCTCCTCATCTTTGTCATTAGACTCTTCTCTCTTCCTCTAAATGTACCAGAGAATCAACTCGAGATCAAAATATAGATAAAAGTAACTGCTAACCCTTGCTTCAGCATTCTGTTTTTGCCTTTGTTCAGATGTTGACTGGTTTTCCAATACCTGGGCAATTAAAGCACATGCACCGCAGCCTCCCTCACACTGCATGAGGATTTCTGATTCTGCTTGGGCCTAACGATGTGAATCTTGGTTATTAGTGGCTATATGCACTTAGAATGTGCTCCCTTACCCTCTGAATGACTTTCTCAACAAGGAGCTTGTCGCTTTGGTGAGAAAGCAAATGACTTGTATCCAGGTAGCGGTAGACCAATTTCCATACAACATCCTATTGAGTAGCATACAGGTAATAAGAATACAATAGTAGGGATGAAAGACATACTGAAAGGTGATTGTACACATCCTTCTTCTCTGTGAGTCCCAAGGCATCTATTAGCTTGTAGCCACTGCCTTGACCTGCTCGGCCCTTGGGCTTGTTAATCAATCTTAACTGTTGGTTAGTATGTTTATCTTGCTTTTTTTCCCGCCTCCTCTCCTCTTTTGCACAGTTCTTTCCTGCAGGAAGAGATATGAGGTCTAAATGGTACCTGTCAGTATCGATGAACTCATGTTTGTGCACTTCCAAATCCCCATGGAGTTCTGATAATGACTCTCCTAATTTATCGATCCTTGACTGCTTCTTGTGCTTCAGCTTCATCATTGAGGCTGGAGGCTTGATGGCAGAGATGATACAGTGCATAGGATAATGGATGTAAGCAACAACCTTGGAGTGGCTGTGCTCAGGTCAGGTGATCACAGCTTGATACATGTCGCTAAGTCAGTTAAGTCAAACATACTGACCATGCCTCCAATTCGATCTCCAAGGAGGAAACATTGTTGGTGCAATCCAGGATGTGGTGTGTGCTTGAGCAGCACACAGCAGTGGCATCACTATAAGAAGGCTGTGTCCATGGGGCAACTGGCAGGCATGTGTGACTCTGAAAGCCTGACAGGTGAAGAAAGCCCCCAACTAGATCTGGCTGAAGGTCAGCTCAACAAGCTGAACATTAAATGATACTAAAGTAATCATCTCTGGTGGTCATTCCCACCTGGCATCTCCATCTGAGTCATTGGACACAACAGGTGTGAGTGGGGTGTCCGAGTCCAAGGCCAACCCTGGAAGTGATGTTCAAGATGATGTATGGGTATGGGCTGAAGAGCTCGAGGGAGATGATAATGAGCTGCTGGATGAGTTGGAAGACAATGTGAGAAACAAAAGAGAACGAGATCTGTTCACTCTCCATATGTGCCCAGTTGCCCTGGCTCTAATGCGTGAACTGATCATGCATCAGGGAATGATATTCTATCAGATGAAGATTGCGACAATATCCGCACATTTAACCTCCTTATGATGGGCCAAATCACTCGATGTGCTTACTCACAGATGTGATTCACTTTCCGACACAAAATGAACCTCAACTCACAATATGTCATCTTTCAGTGTGTGGCCAAACTATCTGGGATCAAACCCCTCTTGGTTGACTGCTGTGGAAATTCATGTGTGGCCTACACTGAAAAATATATTTATCTTCAGTCTTGTCCATTCTGTCGAGAAGCACAATTCAACCAGTATGGAAGGCCACATCGACAATTCATGTATCTCCCGCTTATCCCACAACTGCAAGGGTATTTCCAAAGCACAAGGATGATCAAAACACTCTCATACCATGCAGATTATGATATTGGGAGAGGAGAGATTGTGGATGTATTTGATGGGAATCATTACCAGTGGCTTCTCCATTGTCATGTTATTGTTGATGGAGAAGAGTTACCTCACCGAATACTTCTCAGATTCCTAAGGCATCACATTGGGCCTTTGTACTGACAGCTATTTACTCTTCAGGCAGTGATGCAAGGGCCATGTCCGGTGTAGGAAAAGTCCAAGTAGCTGTATAATACGAGCTAGATGGCTTAGATAACAACAATAAAAAAATGAAGGGAATGAATTGCTCATTGTGAGTCAAAGTGAGGTTCAGTGGTGAAAACCAACCAAAACCAACACAAAAGACAATGAAAGCGAGTGGTGGTGTGCCTATGCAGGTACCTAGATGGTAGAACCTGTTCTTTGGGAGGGTTTTTGCGAGCTACAACACTCAAAGATGAGTGCTGAGGGTTGGGGGGGCTCCTGACAAAGAGGGAAGCAAGAATGTGATAGAAAGTGATAGGGTAGACTGCTGTCAGCCTACAGAAGGATGGATGGTGACTTAATTCAATGTCCTAAGCTGTACTGAGCTCAGGGAGGGCTTGGAGTGAAGTATACAGATGATAGATGATGATAAGCGAAGTAGATGATAGCTAGACCCTTAATAAAGTCTCAACTATCAAAGCTGATGAATGATTTACTGAGAGATGATAAATTGCAAGCAAGAGGGGCTCTCTGATGTCTTCTTTTTTTTTTTTTGCTACCTAAGTACAGTGACTTATATACAGTACAGGGGCATTACCTATGGAAAACAAGGTGCAAACACTTGGTAAGTGATTGGTAACTGATGAGTAAGGAATGTAAGCGATGGGTAATCATCTTGGAAAGCATTGGTAAGCATTGGTAAGGATAAGTAAGCCAAAAAGCAAAGAATCAGTAAGCAAAGTCAAAAGATTGGTAAGTATTGGCAATAGGTGAGTCAAAGACAGTCAGAATGTCACAGTATGAGTCAAGCAATGTCAGGAACTGGGAAAGTGCACTGGAATCACATTAGGGGGAGGCTGTGCATGTCACATCTTGAAGAGATCACTTCTAGGCCAAAGTGGGATGACAGAGAGGCAGCACTGATCTGATGCCAATATCGTACATCCAAAAGCAGACAGGGTGAGTCAGATGTCAACAGGGGTCAAGCTTTGGGGGTCTGTGGGGTGACAGGAGCATAGGGGATTGCAACTTTCCCCCCCAAACTATCCTCTCAGTGAAGCAAATAAAAACTTCATGAATGAGGCTCTGTTGGAAGAGAGGATGAAGGGGGAGTGTCTTCTGCTGTATCTTGCAAGAAGGAGGCAAGATGTGCATCATACTCGTCATGGATGTGATCAGGGAGAGTGGAGAACAGTAGATTATACTGTAGCTGTCGCAATTTTGGAAGAATGACAGACAAGACTGGTATGAAGACGTTGCAGGGGGCAGGGAGGAAGGATCCATATGCTTCTTGGACTGGAGAGACTGAAACGACCACATAAGACCTTTCCAAGCAAATGACAGACCTGAGGTGACCAAAGAATGTCCTCCTGGAGGTCATACTGACAAAAAGAACATGCTGTCCAAGCTGGATGGGCTGAGAGGGGGCAGATGAGGGTGGGATGTACCAGGATGCTTCAGGACAGAAGCTGGTAGGAACTCCTGGTAGATATATGTAGCCATGGTCCCTAGCAAAGGGGACAAGCAAAATGACTGATGTGGAGGCAGCCATATCAGAAGAATTAGCAAAATGAGCATCTTTTGGAGGGAGTGCTGTAGAAATGTGTGGAGTGTGCAAATCCTTTCCAATCTTGGAAGGTAGGATCATGTGGCTGAGCACTACAAGCGAGTGTGGGAATGGTTTCGGTGTCTGCAGAACTGGTGGAGATATGTTGAAAACTGGAATGCCATACACAGGTGCTTAAGAATTTTATTGGTGCTTAACCTGCCTCCTCCTTTTTCTTTGGCATTGACAACTTGTTCTTGTGTGAGGGATGACTACTGACATTGCTGGCTGTCCTTCTTTGCATGAGGGCTATGGTCTTCACCTCCATTCATCAGCTACATCCATGTCCACCTCACCAAACACCTTTGGTGTGTGACATTGTCCCAAGGGATTCTGGACTGTCGAGACTACAAGGTGAGACCTGGTGCTTTGTAGTGGTAGTGGTTTGTGACATGTGCAGCATGGTCTGCAGAATAGTACTTGTGATGCAAGCGGTGCGAGCAGTATACATAGTTTGTGTGTGGCGGAATGCGAGACATGCAGTATAGACAAAGTGTAAAGGAAACTCGTGGTGACCTTCTGAGTGCCAAAAGGTATCCTTCTGTACCTAAGTACAGGGCTTTATAGTCCGGACAAACCTGGAACCTAAGTAAGACAGGGTACAGTAAGGGAAAGCTGCATGACAGCACGTACACAGAAGACAGGCCAAAACAGAGGCCGAGGGTATACTACAAGCACTAAAGGAATAGAGACCATGATAAGAAAAAGAGTCCGAGGAAAAACAACAACTGGAGCACAGCAGCCACAGGTATAGCATTGCAGCGAGAGGGAGTGAAGGGCATGGGAAGGTAGTGCATGAACAACAGGTGAATGCTGAGAGGGGAGCAGACTGTAACAGTAGTCATGGAACAGGTTAATGATAGGGGCTTATGCATCCAGGGAATGCAGATTCCTCACACCTGCGGGGGACTTAGATGCTAACCATCCCCAGTCAGCCACATGGCATGGAGGACATAAATAGCTTGCTGCATGGTGATGGCAACAGTGTGGTACTGAGGGTTCAAGAACACTGGTGAGTTCTGCATAGAAGTGAAGGAAGCATAGAGCCAAGGGACTGCTGAGAACACCAGTTGAATGCTGCATATAGGCATCCAGACCGATGACATAAGTGCCTCATGGCCGCTAAGTATATAATTGTTAGTGCGCAGCTCAAACCTTCGCATCGATTTGATTCTTTCCCCCTTTATCATCCATCCCCCCATTGCTCTAACCATGTCAGCTAACCATGCCCCTCATCTCTCCCAACTCGTACATGCAGTCACCCCTGACCTGGTCAAAGCAGAGAAGGCCGACCTGTGACAGCAAATCGCAGCCACATTGGCTATCCTCATGGCTGAAGCAAGGTGTTTCCCTGAGGATCGCAAAGGAATGCAAGAGGAGAAGACAATGTGGCTGCGACGCTGGGAGGAGAAGACAGTGAGATGAATGTGCATCAGCAGTATGGTAGTGCAGAGGCTGATCGCATTTGTTTCTAGGCTATGCTTATGCCATTGGTCGAGCACAGGAAGGAGCTTGGCATCATGGTAAGGGTGGACGCAGCAGAAGCACCTATACTGGCCGAAGCAGATGACGTCTATGAGTGGTGGACAGTGGAGGAGGCCAAAGTGCATGCAAGGGCCAAGCAGGATGTCCAGATGGGGGATGAGAATGTGCAGGAGACTGGAGGGCCGGGTGCAAGCATCGCAGTGCCTGCAGCAACAGAGAAGATGTCGCACATAGAGGTGGTGTCCCATCCGGTGTGGAAGGTAAGTGCACTGGATGGAAGGTTGTGGTAATGATTGACACTGGAGTCCAAAGCGATCGTGGCAGACTGTCGCAGAGAGCGAAGACAAGGACAAGCCCAAGATCATCGTTCCTCCTGGCTCAATCCTCCACAAGGTCCTGTGTGCATGGTGCACAGTGAAGAAGACAGCCTGCATCGGACCTGTTGGGCGGATGTGCGACAGCTGTGCATGAATGAAGCAGGGGTGTGAGAAGTCGACAAAGGCCACAGGAAAGAAGGCGCAGGCAGGCACATTGGTCAGTAAGTAACTGACCCCACCTCAGGAGGTGCGAAGTTAATGGCTAGCAGCATGGGCCTCGAAGACTGCGAAGCCAAGCTTGTCCAAGAGAGTTGTAGACGATGATGATGATGACAATGAAGTCGAGGTGGTCAAAAGCCACACATGTGCGAAGGGGAAAGCACCAGTGCATAGCTGGCTCGATGCCAAGGTCATGGCCTAACCTGTCACAGTCAGCTGAGGCTGCTTCGTGCTGAGGCCACAGAGTCGCAGGCCACATACCTTCAGCCTGCAGGTGCATGTTGATCAACTCGCTGAAGCTCTGGAGAAGATTGGGGTGGAATAAGAACATTTATAGTTAGTTCAGATTTATTGTACTGTCCCATCCACATGTCAGCACATACTGCGCTAAATATACCACTTTGCTTGCTTCTGTGCGAAGTTGCGAATGACTGGACATGCTTGAATATGAGCTGCAGGGAAGTGCAGGCTGTAGGTGAGATATGGTACACGTGGGTACTGCCCGACTTGTCTTCTTCGTGTGACTTTCGACTTCTCTCAGTGGTATGTCCTCATGAAACAATCTTGATGGTAGGATGTGACAGATTCTTGAAGAGGAAGCGAAAGGGACTGTTTATTGGGTAGCTGGGATGGTCTTTGTGTATCAATTGTAAGGAGACTGGAAGGAAAATTGAAAGAAAAATAAATCAAGGGTCGCATGCTGACTGCACGATTGAAGAGGAAATGTGCAGGGTGGTTGCAAGTATATGTGGTATAGAGCGGCCAAAGATGGTATCAGCAAGACTAGTAAGAGAGATAGGAGAGACATTGTTTTGGCTATATACTTATTTGGTGTTTTGTTATTTTTCTGAATGGTTTTGGACTTTTTGTAAGTGGTTTTTATGTTTTTTGAGCAGGGACTAGCTATCAGTAGAATCACTGGACGAAACACTGGGGTGGAATAGAGGTCTCTGGACGAAACCCAGGGTAAAACAGATAAAAGGAAACGAACTATGTCTGATATCGGGTGGATCAAGTGGTATGCTGGTCACCCCTGTGGGGGACTTTGAATGCTGACTGTCCCCAGTCAGCATGGGAGAAGGAACGAGTGTAGTAGAAGAAGCCAGCAGGGAGGTGGGCAAGGCTGCAGAAAGAGGTATGGGTATCATGGGAGAAGAGGGTACAGGGGAATAGTGTGATGGACAAACTGTGGATACTGGAAGGGACGGATAGTCAGCTGTTCGTGGAAAAAGCCTCCACATCATCATCAGTGGGGACATCCTCAGCTTCCTCAAGCAGGCAGTCTAGCTCCTCATCATCCAACCCAGTAATGCGAGTCACGGTTGTGTGGGTCTGGGACTGTGGGTGGTAGGGAAGTAAGCAGAATGCAGAAAAGCGGAGTTTGGAGATGGAGCCATCCAGCTCAGCCAGCAGGTACGAACCCCCAGTGGTCCAACGAAGGACGACCATGGGACCAGTGTACCACGGCTTTGTCTTCCAGTTCAGCTCTTTCTCTACATGGGAGTTGTGAACAAGCACCAGGGCACCGGGAGCAAAGTTATGGTCTTTAATGCGATGCTGAAAGGCGGTTTCGAACTGCTGGATAGACTGGAAGCATGCATGGAGGATGTTGCTGCGGACCTGGTCTAAGTCATCCTGATGCTTCTGTAACTGGCGCGCTCACCAAGCTATCAGTTCTGTGGTAGTCAGTGGTGTCGCATCATCGCGGGATAGGGGTAAAAGGAAAGTAGCCTCGGCAAGGTCAAATGGGAACAGCAGTTTGACACCATGTACCATGAAATAAGGGGATAGACCCATGGATTTCAAAATGGTGACCCGCTCAGCCCAGAAGACGGAATGTGCAATGGTGTGCCAGCAGCAATCATTGTTCTCACAGCTCTTCATGATAGCCTCACGAACATCATAGTGGCAATGCTCTACAATGCTGTTAGCCTGAGAGTTGTAAGGAGAGATACGGATGTGGCAGATATGATATTGCGCGGCTAGGGCATCTAAGGCTTGGATGAACACAGGACCATTGTCAGTGACAATCTTGGTGAGTGGACCCCAGCGGCATAGGACATCCTCGAAGATGAAGGATGTGAGCATGGTACTATTTTCCATGTGCAACATACACCATTCGGGATAAGAGGTGAGCATGCAATGAGCCTGTACTATGTAGTGGTAGCCGCCAGCTTTGGGCATCAGCATCATGTCAATGTGAGCTTTATGAAACAGGCCCCCTATCATGGGTACAGTGGGGGGGATATGAAGCTTCTGTGTCTGGCAGATCTGGCATTCATGACAAGTGCGGACATACCACTTCACATCCTCGACAAGAAGAGGCCACCAGAAGCGAAGGAGAAGATGTGTGCAGACTGTGAAGACACCCTTGTATCCAAGGTCATCATGCACTTCTTTGATGAGATGATACCACTTGGATTCGTCAATGACTAGCTGGTTCCATCCATGTGGTTCTCTATGCCATAGATTTCCATCTAGGAGGAAGAAGCAGCTAGCTGAGTTGAAGAAAGATGAGTACTGCGCATCAGTAAGGTCAGGTGGTCACTCATGGGTCGCGAGGAATGCATGGATCATTTCTATCTTTGCTTCGTGTGCCCAAGCCTTTGTGGATTGTGGAATGGCAGGGTCATCAGGGGTATCGGAAGGGTTATTAGCATCAGCAGTCATAGAGAATGCGAAATAGAAGGATGCAGGCAGTGGGAGGCTTGCCTGATGGTAAGTGGGTGGCAGTAGGGAATGGTGATCTTCATTGGAAAGTGACATAGGAGGTGGGCGGTTGTTGACAACCTGTGTAGACAAAGAGTAAAAATGGTCTAGCCAATCCTCATGGTCATTGTCCTCAGGCGGGTCGAGCTCCGACTGCAGATGGCAGGATAAGCCATCAGGGCTGGCATGCCTGTCTGCAGGAACATGGACAAGTTTGAACAAGAAAAGGAGGACACCAGCAATCCAGCAATTGATCGTCGCATTGGGCTGCAGATCTGGGTTATTTATCATGCCCTTAATATACTTCGCATCTACCTCCACAGTGAAGTTAGTGAGACTGAAGATGTATATGCATACCACGTGCAATGCATGGAAGGGACTGTACAACTCAAGCTTGGCCTGGGAGTAATGGCTTTCCACTTCATTGAGGGTGATGGATCTGAAGCGACTTGGGTACCGTCTGCCATCTTTGCCGAGCTGGTAGAGGATGTAGCCAACTGTGATGACCAATGTGGCTACTGCTAGAATTACTTCATGACCACACTTGTAGTCGATTCTTCGGAGTGTGGGGGACTTTACAATTTTGTCCTTGAGTCATTGCATGGCAGCGCATTGCAGCTTGTCCCATGTGAATAGTACATCTTTCTGCATGAGTGCGACTGGTGGCCACATGATCTTGGCAAAGTCTTTGATGAAGATGCATAGCACACCGCAGACACTGAGGAAACTGCGAACCTGAGTCAGGTTGCAGCACTCAGGCCAGTCATGGATCTTCTGCACTTTGCTTTCTTCAGGAATGCGACCTTCAAAGGTGCACTTGTGGCCAACAATCACCACGGACAGAGTGGCTAGTATGAACTTTTTTGCCGAGATGGTGGCTCCGACATTCTGCAAACACTGAAGGATACAGTTAACGACTATATAGTGGTTCCAGATAAATTTCCGAATCCCAGGATTCTCCAGGATAGTCTCATAGGACCCATCTGTGTGCTGATAGCGGGTGGTCTCGGATTTTACGAGGATGTCATCTATGAAGGGCAAGGTATGATGCAGGATCTCATCCTGGAGAACAAATGCAGTATCTCCCTGGTATACCTGGACTGCATTTGCATGACCTTGTGGCAGGGTAGTAAGCTGGTGCAGCCTGAGTGGGGTACTGAAAGTGGTGAGGTCATGGGAATCCACATGAAGTGCACACTGGTCATACCCAGAGTAGAGGTCCATCATCGCATATACTGCATACCTGGCAAAGGATTCTGCGAGATGTTCTACGAAGGGCAGAATGGATGTGTCATGGATGGTCACTGCATTCAGGGGCTGTAAGTCATGCACAAGGCGAAGAGACTTTCTGTCTTTCTTTACTATGCAGAACCAGCGGGAGCAGTAAGCCGCTGTAGAAGGTTCATACATGCCAGACTTGATGCAATCTTTAATCATGTCTATGACTTGGGCATGTATTGCATTTGGGATAGGGATATTGCATTGGACCCAAGGCATGTGTGGAATCAAGGAATCTTTACTGGCGGAAAATAGCATTCGTCTAGGTGTCCATGCTCTGTAATGTCCCAAGCAAATGTGAGCTCATGGACCAAAACGAGCCAAGTTATGAGTTTAAGTTCTTCTGGCCAAAGCCAATCTGCAGGATCAAGGTCAAGTTCTGCAGCCCGTTTGGCAGTGAAGTGGATGCCCAGAGCAAAGTCTGGTGGATGGGTTGGAAGTGGTTGGAGACCAGCATGCAGGTCATCAGGCAGGCTGCACACGATGCAGTATTCTTCTGCCTTTGGGACAGGTACCATCTGAACCTTCTTGGCAACTGGCTTGTAAACAAGAGTGCAAACCGCAGGGTCTAGTTGATAAACACTGCTGAATGCAGCTATAGCAGAGGGGTTTAGTATTGTCTGAGTGGAAGAGAGGAAAGCGAAAGCAGGCAAGGGTATTCCAGTGGGTATGTTCCATGGTATGATTGCCATGGGTGAAGGGAAGTTCATAGAAGTGAAGGCTAGTGACGATACTGTAGGACTAAGGAATGGATAACAGCGGTTAAATAGGAAACAGGATGTTTTAGTAGGCTCTCCCCAACCACTTGGTGGATCATCAATATTCAAAAACCCCATTTGACTATACTCTGGTGACTATGGCAGTGCTTGCCGCATTTGCAGCATGGACAGCCCTCACACCACAGGGCATGTGGGCACAGTGTACTCACAGCTGTTGTTTGGGTCTCGGAGAGTGATCCACTGTCTGCTGTCAGGATAATCATTTGTTACCGCACTCATAAGGCAAATGGACGGATGTCCGAGGAGCATGTCGAAGTTGGCATGTTCAATTACTTGAACCTGTAGCATGACTGGCCTGGTGCCGAAGTCGAGTTTCAGGTTCTCTAGTACGCCTACAGTAGTGTCTTTAGACATGTTAGCAGACATCATAGTCATGAGATGATCGCAGCACAATGGAAGCCCAATCTTTTCCCAAATGTGCCCTGGGCATGGTGAT